AGTCACTGTGCATGGACCCTGTGATCTCTATGTCTGGATATTCCTCAGAGAGCGAGTCCCCACCCCCGTGGAGCCTGTGATTCTGTGTCTGGCCTCTTTGACTAAGGGCTTTCGTTTTGTCTGCTGCCACACTTGCTAGCAGCCCATCCCGTGTCATTGGTATGTATACGGACATACCACAGTTTGATTGTTCATACATGAGGTGATAGATGGTTGGATTCTCTCCACGTTTTGTCCATTCTGAACAAAGGTACTGTGGCCTGTGAATACATAACAAACGTTTTTGTGTCTCTGTCTCTGTATCTATCTCTCTATCTCTATCTCTCATTTCCCATTCACTTTAAGCCTTTGAGGAAAGCTCCAGACTCCGGGGATTTTTAAAGACCCTGGCTGCTGTCTGAATGTCTGTTTGCAGTCGTCTCATGAGTTTGAGGTGGCATCTCACTGTGGATTTTATTTTTCTTTCCCTCACAGTGAACGATATTGAGGGTGTCTGTGTAATTAACCGTTTCTAGATGGTCATTGGAGAAGCGTGTATTTACACATCCTCCCTTTGGGACTGATGTTACCTCTGTCATTGTCAATGGCATGTTTGAAAATGTTCTCTTATAGTTAGTAGTTTCTTTTCCATTTTATTGGTGGCATTTGAAACCAAAAGCCTTTTAATGCTAACACAATCCAGTTTGTACATTTTTCTCTGTAATCCTAGCTTGGAGTCATATTTAAGATTTTTTTTTTTTTTTACCCAATGAGTTCTAAAGGTTTTGGCTTTTTCTCTTACATTTAGCATCTGGCTTATTGAGCAAGGTTTTTTTTTTTGTTTTTTTTTTCACATTTATAATATGTAGATCTAAATTAGTGGGGTTGTTTTATTTGTATAAATTATTTTACATTTATTTGTGCATTTGTGTGTTTTGGGGGCACACATGCATTCCAAGAATCACATGAGTGGTCAAAGGACAGCTTCCTGGAGTTGGTTCTCTCTTGCTTCCATGTGGGCTCTGGGGTTGAACTCAGGTTGTCCGGCTTGGCTGAAATCACCTCTTACCAGATGAGCCATCTCACCTGCCCCTTCCCCTCTTCTGTGTGTGACATGGTCTTTTCTCCATTGGATTGTCTTTGATAATCTTTGCTGAAAATTAACTGACTGTAGAACTGGCTTGTAGCTGGGCCTCTGGTGTTGTCTGTCTACCCCTGTGTCTGCTTAGGCCCAAGACTTTAGAGCAAAGTTTGGAACCAGAAATAAAAGTCCCCACCATGTTCTGTTTGTTTGCTTTAAGGTTGTTTTAGGTTGCTCTGGACCCTTTCTGTGTGAGGATTCATTTTTTTTAAAGCAATCACTTTACAGTTTCCCTTGGGTCTGTGATTGAGAGCCTTGAATCTGTGCTGCCGGGAGTTGCCATTTGATGCTGTTGGTGAACAGCCTCTGTTTCTTCAGGTGCTCAGGCACCACTGCTGGCCTTTTCCAGTCTTCAGTGAGGTTACTCCAGAGTGAGGAGATCCTGTCTGTGGTCTGGAGCTGGACCTGTTTTCTTGGTTTCACTTTTGATTGCTCGTTGTTGGGATGCAGAAGTAACGGTGTGTTCTACAGCTAGCAGCTTCTGGAGTCTGAACTAGTTATTAGTTCTAGTAAAGTGTGAGTGTGTGTGTGCGCACACTTGTGGTTGGGTGTGGTCTGTATGTGTGTGTACCTGTGTGCATATCTGTGTGTATGCACCTATGTGTGTGCATTTGTGTGTATGTATGTGTGTGTGTGTCTATGTGTGGCTGTTCACTCTCCTCTGTGTGTGTGTTGCTATGTCTGTGGTACAGTTGTGGTTTATATGTGTGTGTAGGCACCTGTTTGCATGTGTGTATGTACTCCTGTGTGTGTTTGTGTGTGTGTGTGTGTGAGTGTGGCTGTTTGCTCTCCTCTGTGTGTGGGTCTGTTAGTGTGTCTGTGGTACAGTTGTGGCAAGCGTGTGTGTGTATGCACCTGTGTACATGTCTCTGTGTATGTGTGCTCTTGTGTATGCTTGTGTCTGGTTGTTCACTCTCCTCTCTGTGTGTGTATGGATGCATGTGTGTATACCTGTGGGCAGATGGGTGTGGTCTGTATGTGTGTGTATGCACCTGTATGCATGCCTCTGTGTGTACCTGTGTGTGCACCTGTGTGTATGTCTCTGTGTGCACCTGTGTGTCCACCTGTGTGCATGTCTCTGTGTGTACCTGTGTGCATGTCTGTGTGTGTGTGGGTCTGTATGCGGCTGTTTGCTCTCCCCATGTGTGTGTCGGCATGTGTGTGTGTGGTACAGTTGTGGCATGCATGTGTGTGTCTATGAGTATATGTGTACACGTGCAACATTTATGTCGGTTTTTACTTTTTACTTCTAATTTTTTGTCTGTGTTGTTTTTTTTTGTTTTTTTTTTTTGTTTTTGTTTGTTTGTTTGTTTTTCGAGACAGGGTTTCTCTGTGTAGCCCTGGCTGTCCTGGAACTCACTCTGTAGACCAGGCTGGCCTCGAACTCAGAAATTCGCCTGCCTCTGCCTCCCAAGTGCTGGGATTAAAGGCGTGCGCCACCACTGCCCAGCTGTCTGTGTTGTTTTCATTTTTCACGTTAATCCTTAATTTTTTTTAAAAAAAATGTTTCTCTCAATGATTTAAAATAACGTTTATCTAGAAAGAATACACAAATTGCATTTGATTCCGGGAGGCCAGGCATAAGAATTAGGCTTGCCACAAGGTTAGAGAACAATAGTGTGTGTTTCCCGATACAACAACAACAAAAGAGCATGTGGGCGAAACAGAGGCCACGGTCTCACAACATCCTTTTGATAAAGAGGGCATGGCTGACAGCTCCCTGCAGAGACAAATTCATGCCGGGTCTTATTCTAGCAAGTGTGATGGCCACACGGAACTGCTGGCACACTAGAAACTATAGGTCACGCCGAACAAGACATTCTAGGGACCGCTGGTGTGGCTCAGTGGGTAGAGCACTTGTTTCTAATCCATGAAGCCCTGGGTTTGATCCCCAACTCTGCACAAACTGGGTGTGGTGGCTCACACTGGTTATCTCATTGTAATCCCAGCACCCAGGAGCTAGAGGAACAGAAGTTGAGGGATATCCTTGACTACACAGTGAGCTTAGGACTAGCTTGGGCTACTTGAGACCCTGTCTACAAACAAAGAGAACAGCTTAGGATTCTTTGTCGTCGATCTCGATGGGCAAAGCTACCGATCTGTTTTATGGTTCCTATGGTGATTATTTGCAATGCTTTGTGGTTTAAAGCAAAATAGATCTGTAGGGTCTGTAGGCATTGGTAGCCAAGCAGCCTCTGGCCGGTGGCAACTGAGCAGTCTGCTTGTAGTCCAAGAGTGGGTCCTGTATCTGTGACTATTCTGTCATCCCATTCCCCCTTGGACTGACCCTTTGCTGCTGGTCCCCTCCCCATGCCATCAACACAGTGTCCCCCAGTGAGATACTTGGGTCCTGCTTTGATTCAGGATTTGCTTCTAGGATTCTGGCTTTGTATGGCTTCCCCTGTGGGAGGGGAGAGTTAAGGATTGCGTTGAGTTTCCCTGCTGTCAGGGATGGACACTGAGCTAAGCATTGCTAATTGGATTTTCAATGGGAAAGGCCTCAGGGCAGCAGGAAGGTGAGCCCCAGGCTCTGGGCTGGTCAGTCACAGACTCGTCAGCTTTCACTTTGGATAGAGAAGCCACACAGATGGAAGTAAGAGAGAGAAGAGCCATTGGTTCGACACTGGCAAGGTGGTCTTGGCAGCCATTCTGTCAACCTGGGGGTCAGCTACCTGGGGTCTGTCTGCCCCACCTGACAGCCTCTACATTCCTGAGAACTATGGACTGATCAGCGGTCTGAGGTGCAAGCCTACGGAAGACCATAATCACCACACCGGAAAATCGGTTGTCTCCTTGTTAAGCCGTTACTCAAATTCTAGAAGTGGGTATAATTGTCACGGCTCAGAGGAAGGCAGGGGAAAGGCCCAGTTTAGTGAGTCACGAATCTGTTATGCTGTGCCTCCTCGTCCCTGATCTTGGACCCATGACTCATGGGCTGGCAGAACTACCTGTGTTTATTTTTTTAAAGGTAGATTTCCCTCTTCTATGAGCATTTCTGCCCAGGCTCAGGCTGCAGCTGCATGCTCAGCCCCTGACGGCCAGCTCCATTTGTGGCTTACTCCCTAGGGAGCCGTGCTGTTTATGTGACGTTGCCCCTCTGCCACTGAGCTAACCTCAGCTACCATCTCCTCTCTCCATATACAGCCAAACTAGCAAACGACGCATACAGCCGTGCATCCAGAGAGCCGAGGCCAAGGCCGAGGCTCATTTGGTAGGCTGCTTGCCTTCGATGCAGAAATGCCCCCTGTGAACCCCCTACACACATACACAGAGCTGTAGGAACACACAGGGCACCCAAACGTATACTCAGTACCTGTAATGCATAGCTATGTACAGGCAAGTGTGTACACATGTGCCGAGCACACACAATGCAATGCCATGCAGAGGCTATGCACAGCACTCATGGGTGACCTGTACATAAACCCACACACATGTATTCAGCATAGTGCACACGCACAGGTGCGCGTGCACACATGCGCTCACACCTCTGGTTCCTTGCTCTACTTCCTGTGGGTGTT